TGTAAGGGTTTTGTATATGCGAGTTAAGCTCAGATAATGATAATGACAACCTGAGAAACGGACATAAGGCGTTTGTTAGTTTCCAACCCTAGGGATTGATTTAGATACAAATGGTAAACTCAAATCAAACCTTACTACCATTAATTTCCCCTCATTTTCATTGTATCACTCTATTCTCAATGATTGAATCTATGATTTTGTAAGTTAGTTTTTTTGTTTTATTAAAAATTTATTTATTTAAAGTTATAATTAATTGTAAAAAAATATTTCTAGTGACAAAAAATGTCAAAATCCAGCGAAATAAAAAATTTTAAATTAAATGTCAACTTTTATAAATCGATCAACTTTTATATACATATAAATATATATATAGAATTTCAACGAGTCCAGTTGGTGGAATAATTTTTAGCTTGGACCTCACAAATCATTAATACGAAGATTCTTACAGAGGTTGGCGAAATCACACGAGGGTGGGCATTAGTCGCGGGGGACTCCCGTGGGTGCTGGACAAAATGAATAACTGCAAGGAAAAAGAGATAAGAAAGAGATGGAGTAACTGAGGAATATATATGTATATGTTATTTTTAATACATACAATAAAAATAATCCTTATGGTAGGAATAAGAGTGTCGTAGAAAGTGTTTAAAAGAGTGCCGGCGACATAAGTCATTTTTGGTTTAGTCCTTGGCTAAAATAATAAAAAATATTAAAAAATATTATATATAAAAGTTTGTCTCGCTTATGAATAGAGGAGAGTAATATCTTATATTATGAGAGAAGTATGCTTATAGAGACAAAAATAAAAAATAGTCGAATATTTCTGGAGTGTCCCCCGAAAATGGAGAAACCTACGCAATACCAGCACAAGTATAGAGAAGACAGGTTCGGTATATTTTATCCACTGACTCTTGGAATAATATCTGGTATATAGTATCATTTATACCTCGGTAGTCACTTTTATACACCGCACACCAGTATTTATGTGTCGCCGCCTCGCCTAAGCATTTGATATATGAACTATCAAGAGTAAAATCGGCCCAACTACTTTACACAATACTCTACGATATTTTTATTTTGATTCCTTCGTACTTTTTGTGGTAACATCGTTAATCGCTTCTCTCAGATGCTCTCGTGCAAGTCAACTATCTTTGATAAATTTCTCCTGCATTTATTATTTTTTTTTTTTCATATCGATGCATCATACCGAGTCCGTATTTAAACTGCAATTTTAAAAACTATATATAATAAAGAGAATAAGGAAAATTTTGCCTCGTGTATTTATGTGATAATATGAATTTTTTAAATGAAATTTAGTTTCATTGGAAAGGTCGAGACCTGAATTAGTGCCTTTTTGATGGTTCATATCGACGGTCTAATTAGCAATATGTCTAACTCCATATTTTTTAGAGGGTGATTTTTTAACATTTTGATGTAGCCATCGAATCATAAATCGAATTATAAATTATTTGAATGATTCAAACCTGAATATTATATCTCTAATGAGATAATAATTATATAAAATGGTTTTTTAAAGTGATAATAAATTTTGAACTAATTGTTTTTTTCGTACAAATAGAATATTCTCTAAAATGGAGTTAGACAATTTGCTAATTAGAACGTCGATATGATTTTCTAAAGTAGTTTATTTGTTATGATAAGTTTTTGAAGTAGTTTTAAATAGATTCGAATTTCACGAAAAAACAAAATTTTTTTATTTATTTAATTTGTTTTGTACACGTGAATGCGGTTATATGTTAAAAATTAATTTATATAATTAAGAGACTAAGAAAAATTTAGTAACGGGTATATTTTTATCGTAAATTCGGTTTGATATTTTTTCAGCGATAGTTATTTATGATTTAAATAATTGAGAGAGTAAGGAAAATTTTGTGACGAGTTTAATTTGGTATCATCAGAAAGGTCTTGAGTAGAATTAGTGCCTTTTGGTTTTATATATTTTTCAGTAGTCAATTTTTTATGTCAAGTTTTTGGAGGAGTTTTTAATAGTTTTTTTGGTTCTATAAATTTGTTCAGTCACATTTTACCATTAAATTATTTATAATTAATCCTGTGACATCACTATTGTTTTTTTAATTTATTTAAAAAGTACCCAAACTATGTACAGTGTGATTATAAATATAAAAAAAATCATTAAGGCAAAATTTTTTTATTCATAATCCATAAATCTCCGGTTTCGCACAGTGACTGCAGGTTGCTAGTTTCAAATAAAAATTTTTATAGTAATTTCACTTATTAAATTAATTAATGAGTATTTAATCTTTAATTATTAAATAAAAATTTTTTTACAAATAAAATTATTTTAAAAAATCGCTCAGACGATTTGAAAAGAATTTTAAAATTTATTTACTGCAACTTGTAATCGAGATATATGTATCCTTAAAGTATAAAAAAAAATATAAGTAGTATCAAGAATTCAGAGTAGTCTTATAAGATTTTATGTATTATATTATTAGTCTTATATATGTGTAGTGGTTCATAAATATATGAATATATAAGAGACTGTAGAACTACCAAAAAGGATTCACTCGGCAAGTTATGATTTAATATCTCATATAACCGAGATACTCAACAGCGAAATCACAATAAATATGCCTCAGATGATTTTGGTGTGCGGTAGCTCTTTTATTTATAATAACTAACTTATTAAACAATCGCTAAAGGCTATTTACGAACTTTTTTTTTTTTAGTAATCTATATCAATATTAATTATTTCACAAAAAAAAAAATTCAAATAAAATTACCGACGACTAAATGACTTTTATTTTCGTTATTATTATTATCATTATTATTATTGTAGAAATAATGAAAATAATTCTTGTGAAAAACAAATGTAAAATCATTGGTCTGCAAACGTGAGAAAATTCACAAATATATAATCCATATAAATACAAGAAGTCTAAATTGCGGATAGATATCGGCTCGATGAACAATTGTACACTGCCTGCGGCTATGTCGGAAACCCGCATTAAAAGTAAGCGCACAATCTTTTATTTAGGCGCGTGGCTGCATCTTTTAATACGTGCATTCGCTTCAACGATTTTAGAAACGTGCCAAAAATATCATACATACGTATTTATTGAGATTTTAAATCCTATTATTTTTTATGAAATTTTTTCTTTAATTACATAGAGAAAAAAAAATTATTTTTAAAAAAATTAACAAGAGATTAATTTGTTTAAAATTTTAGACTTAAGTTTCTTGTTAAAAAAATTTTTTTTTCTTAAATCTAGAAAACTTTTTTTCAACATAAAAATTACTGCAACAAAAATTTTTATTTCTTCGAAATAAAATTTGAAACAAATTAATTTATTATTAAATTGTTTATTTTTTAATAAAATAATTTTTTTTTTCGATTTTAATTATTAAAAATATAATTTAAAATTAAAGATTGAAGTAAAATAAAATAATTTGAAATTTAACTATCAAAAAATAAAATTTTTTTTGCACTTGAAAATAATTTAAGTACTTAATTGAATAAATAAATAAAAAGTAAAATATTTATTACGCATGTGTATTAAACACGTGCAATATTCTATCAGTAGTAACACGAATTATTTGGTTTAGTTTAGTGAAGTCAAAGACCAACGGCTTAGCACGTGTCACGTAAATAATCCAGCTCTGGAGATATAAAGAACATATTATCAGTGTTTTATTATATTATGTCAAATGAAAAGTACACCAAGCACTGGTCTACGCGTAAAGATAAAAAGGAGGATGAACTCCGCGAGGTCAGCCGGCGTTATCAATGCTCAGGAGCACTGGAACATCCCCATATGTCTCTTCTACATGTCCCTATGTCAACGTAGCAACCCTCTCGAGGAGGCGGGAACCTTTGGGATTGCACAATCGCATGCTGATTGATAATTTATACGGTGCGTGCAGGTTATTTGATTATCCATCTTCCCCAACTGTGATTTGGTCTATATATTTTATTTTTTCTTCTTACTCCATGCCCTCACATGATCTCTTTATGTCTTTAGATGTTTTATTCCAACATTTATTTATACTTTACGCATACAAGAATAAATATAGCAGAAGTACTTAATAATTTTTTTTTACAAAAAAATTAAAATTAAATTATTTCATAATTTTGTTATTAATTTTTTTTACAAAAAAATTAAAATTAAATTATTTCATAATTTTATTGTTAATTTATTTTTATGAATAAAAATTAAAAAAAAAAATGAAAATTTGATGAAAAAATAAAAAAAAAAGTAGTATTTAAATTATTTTTAAAAAATACAAACTTAAAAAAATTTTTGAAATTTCTTTACAATTTATTTCTTTTTTTAATTTATAATTTTTTCTAATTTTCAAAATTAAGCCTTAATATTTTTATATTTTTTGTATACAAAATTAGTGATACTTTTTAAAAAAAATTTCTAAACTAAAAAAATGTTTTCTCCCCTCCGTGCGGAAAGCGTCAATTTTCTGCTCACTGCGCTAAACGAAAATGCCGCTTTCCGCCTCCGTCGAGGAGAAAAATAGTATTCTCACCACGGGCAGGAAATAAGAAAGCCTCAGATCACATGTTTGTCGACCTCGGCTTCGCCTCGGTCAACAATTACATGTAATCTGAGACATTTCTTATTTTCCTGCCCTGGGTAAGAAAAATACTATTAAATATTAAAAAAAAAATAAATAATAAGATAAAAAGGTAAAATATTAAAATTTTTTGCAATTCATTTTTTGATAATTAAATTTGTTATAAAAATTTAATAAATTTTTCTTTATAATTATCTTCATTGAAATTTTTCCTCTTGATTTAGATACATGTTTTATTATTATTATTATTATTATGATAATAACAGTAATTTTAATAACTATTTGAAAATAATTCCCATAAGTATTTAGCAACAGAATGTATATAATAAATAAATAAAAAAGCTAAACAGGAACAGGGGCGTTGTGAAGAACTAAATCATTGCGGGATGTTATGTCACAGAGTAAAACGAGGGTAGTGAAGAAGCCTTGGCTACATGCGGGCGGAATTGACGGCGATGACAAAACGCGTCGTCAACGAGCTGAAGCGAACAGACGAGTGGTAAACTACGGCGCTGTACTGGGGGTCGCGGTGCCGATGATGACATAATTGGTATCATTCGGGGTCTTCTTTTGAGATGAACCATCCGGCAATCTCACCCCAATAATTTTCAATGAATAAGTGTAAGTCTTTTATTTGATGTTGTACTCTAACAGACTACCTTGCTATCGTTCACTTGCCCACATTTCCTCAATTATTACTTTATTTTTATTTTTTATCATTTTATTTTCATCAATACAGTTCATTTATTCTCATACAACTGTATATTATGAATCACTATTTTTTTTATCATTTCAAATAATAATTACTAGCAACCTTGCAGTCACTATATGTGACTGCCGTGACTTGTGAACTATAAATAAATAAAATTTTGCTTTATTAAATAATGACTTTTGTTAAATTGCACTGTACTTCTTAACTATTGACGTTTTCTAAGATATAAGCTCATCTCGATGTTACACTCATCAAGAGCTTTCATTTAAGTACCCATATGCATTTTTGATATATTTTTCATATATACATATATATAATATATATAAATATATAAAAAAATGATGTGGGTACTTAAATGAAAGGTTTTGATGAGTATAACATCGGGATGAGCTTATATCATTAAAAATGTAAATATTTTACAAGATATAAGGTAATTTCTTAATTATGTATCTAGAGATAGAGCATTTTCGAATGCAGCCTAAATCATCATAAATTGACTATTAGTGAGCGTCGACAACGTGCGCATCGTACGTAAACGGAATTCGGTATTACTTGTAATCCACTTGGCTGCGATAAATTGTAAGCGAGCTGAAAGAAACAAATAAAATTACCACAGTTTAATTTATTTTCTTTACTGTAATTTTTATAGAAAAATTCCAGGAATATTTCTACTCCTGGAAAATTTGTCGCAACTGTCTATACTTGAATCGGCGACTATGCTCGAACACTTGGATAATTTTAGCTACAGTTATTATGTCGCTCTATACTTTTACAACTTTATTATGTAAATGAAAAATTAAAATTAAAACATAAATTGAATTTAAAAAAAATTGATATTTTAAAAAGTTATCGTATTCACCCATCTATAAGAACTTGATAAGTCCACCCCATAAACTATTAAAACCAATTTTTTAAGTAAAAAAAAAAACAAATCAATTTAAAAACAATTTTAAAATGAGTTCAACAATTATTTTTCTTTTAACAGTGTGCTTTTTATATCAGCTTTATGCATAAAAAAATTGTCAGATAGGATTTAAAATGACGAAACATTGAATCTTCATTTTTTGGCCCTAGTAGAACATACCTACGCGCTTTGCGCTTGACATGCAATATTATCTACACTGATAGAAATTTTAACTTGACTCAAGAGCAAAAATCTTGAATCAAGAACACCAATTGGAAGAAAATGAATTTCTTGAGCCAAGAGGAAAAATTCTTGAGTCAAGATATTAGATTCTCTTGAATTAAGAAAATATAGTAGTCAAGTTTTTGGAGTTTTTAATAGTTTTTTGGTTCTATAAATTTGTTCCGTCACATTTGTCCATTAAATTATTTGTAATTGATCCTGTGACAGCACTATTATTTTTTAAATTTATTTAAAAAGTATCCAAATTATGTATAGTGTAATTAAATATAAAAAAATCATTAAGGCAAAATTTTCTTATTCATTATCATAATCCATTTATTAAATTGGAATAAAAAATTTTTTTTTTTAATTGTACTTCAAAGTTTTTCAATTTTGTTATGAAAGAAATTTTTTTGTAACAATTTTTTTAATAAAAAAAATTTCTAAAAATTTTTAGATGTCGGCTAACTTAATTAATTTTGATGATAAAAGTTTGAATTTAAAAAATTTTCCCTCCTTTACTAAAACTTTGTTCTGCTAGTCCAGGTGGCAGCACCGCGCGGTAAGGAAAACTCCCGTTGTAACCTTCAGAGTAAAAACGAAAGTAAAAGTGACCTAATTCTTTTTATGAATGAAAGGTAAGATGGCGAGCTCAAGTGGCGCTAGTAGAGCTAGCGTAGTAGTAAGAGTACTTGCTACTGAGTACTCTAAAATTACAAAGGATTTTGAGAATTAAGATTTAATTCTCAGACAGACCAGGCCAGTATTGGTCACATCAGTTGTCAGGAGCACTCTATTTTTCATTCCCATTCCCATGTGCTAGTGTAATATTCACAGTCAAACAAAGAAACAGCCAAGTGGTCTTACAGATATATCAGTAATTTATAATTAAATAATTTTAACAATTACCTCCAAAAGTTATTAAGTCAAAATTATTGATAATATTACATTTTTGCTTATTTATTTGGAAAAATAAATTCCCACAATGGACAATGATATTTTACGGCAAATATGGAGTACATTTAAAGAATTATCACTAGGTATTTATATATTTATATTTATTACTTGCTAATATAAAAATAAAATTAGATGGCATTTAAGTTAGCAGTCACTTGACCTTTTTTTTAATTTTATTTAACAGACAAATTTGTTCTGAAAAATTATTTATAAAAAAATACATTTTTTATTTTTTTAAATTTCTGCATGTAAATTTTTTTTTTTTGCAGTAATTTATTTTTTAAAAAATTATCAAATATCTGCTACTTTAATTTTCATAAAATTATTACAAAAAAAAAAACAAATAAAAAAATTTTATTTTTAAAAAAACTTTAAGTCCAATTTTAAAAAAACATTTTTTTGTTCCAATTTAATTAATGAAAAAAAAAAAATTAATAACTAATACATTCACAATATTTTTTTTGCAATAAATAAATAACATCGGCTAATTTTATTATTATTTTTTTTTTATCTGTCACAAAAAATTCTTAAAATTATTAAATACCTGCTAAATTAATTTTTATTAAAATTAGCAGACATCTAAAAATTTTTATTATTTTTTCTATTGAAAAAATTATTATAAAAAAAAATTGTACATGTAGAAAATAAAATAAAAATTTTAATTAACTTTTGTTATTAATAATTGATCTAAGTATATTTTTTTAAATCTTACAGAAGTACCGTTCAATAGCAATGATGCTGAACCTTTTTTTTCTGATAAGACTGAGGACAATGTACCAATAAGAAAATTATTTATTGGTAATTTGGCTGAACGCGTAAGTTAATTAAATATTATTAATAAATAAAAACTATCCTTTAAGTTTATTTAAAAATTATTTATAATTTAAAAAGAATTATTTTTTAAAGAATATATAAATAAATAATTAATTAAAATTTTATTTTATTTAAACATAAATTATATATTTTTTTTATTTTAGACATCGAATAAAGACTTGGAGAAACTATTTAGTGCCTATGGAAAAATAGAAGCTTGTTATGTAAAAAGAGTTGATGGTAGAAGTCATTTTGGCTTTATAACTTATGTCGATGTTGAAAGTACAGTGCGGTAAGTATAATTAACAGAAAAAAATTAATAACTAAAAAATTGCTTGAATAAAAATTAATAATTTTTTTATTTAAGAGCCCGGCAGGCATCTCATAGAATGGAATTAAAATTACACTCTAGAATCCTGCGGGTGACTGCTGCCGATTCTTGGCACCAGCCTGACAGTATTGAAAAGCAGAAAAAGTTTCCTAATAAACATACTAAAAGTGATCCTGAAACTGTTGTTAAAGCTCCCACGCCTGAACCAGATAACTCGGATTCGGTGATAAGTAAATTAAATGATGATTGTTTGAGTGAAATATTTTTATACTTGCCTATTGCTGATCGGATACGCGTCGAAAGAGGTAATTTTTTTTTTACATACAATAAAATAAATTACACGCCTTATAAGCGAAGCGTTGAGGTAGTGCTCTACTCTCGACATTTCAAAAAAAGCAGCTTTCTTGAAACTGAAGTTGATTTTTTTTTTATTTATATAGCACTTATTGGTTAGTCTGAGTGTACTAATATCAAGTCAAATAATTGGTCAGGCACATAAAATATATTTCAATAAAAATTATTTTGCTTAACATAGTAAATAATAACATTAAAAATAATCTTTTCTAAACGTTCGTGTCTGTGTTTATGGATTGGTGTATGTGGCAGGGAAATTGATCAAAAAAACGATCGTACCGGAATAATTTTTTTTTTATTATCTAAAGCAACACACAACGGACTTTCTCAATTAATATGAGCGTTCACTTCACTGTCGTTAAATTATTTATAAAAAACTAATTTATGACTATTTTTTTGTATATCTATCTATACATTTCATTATAGTATTTTTTTTTCTTCACTTTAGAATTATGGCGCCACTAAACCATAGCAGAGTTTTATATTTTTTATATTTTATTTTAATCAATTTTATTATGAAAAACGAGATTATGAGGCGTGCATTTTTGGAATTTCCACACTTTTTTTAAATTTTACTTTCAAAAAAATTAATGAAAATCTGGTAATTATTTACAAGTGGGGTCAACCTTATTTTGGGCCATAACTAAATGAAAAATTAATATTTTTTAATTTTTTTTTGAATCTGACTTTTTACGATATCTTTTTTGCCTTTAAAAGTTGGAAAAAATTTTGGCTCTCATGTTTTTGGATAAAATTTCTATTTTATCTTTTTTTGATATTTTTGATATATATATTTTTTTGAAGTACATAAAAAAAGAACAATTTAAAAAAAAGTTGAGTATCACAATTTTTTTGAAAATTTTTTTAAATTGTGGTAATCAACTTTTTTTTTTTAAACTGTTTATTTTTTTATGTATTTTTCAAAAAAAAAAAATATATCAATAAAATCAAATAGAAATTTCATTCAAAAAAATGAAAATTAAAATGGTTTCCCCCACTTGTAAATATTTACCAAAAATTTCTAACAATTAAAAAAATTTTTCAACATTTTGCCTAATTAAATTTTTTTTTAGTGTGCAAACGTTGGCAAGCGTTGAGCCACCAATCTTGGCACGCAGTTAAATCCTTAAACTTGTCAAAAAATTCATGGGGGCTGTCACCAAAAATTCGAGTGCAAGTAGTGGACACAAGCACACTCCGCAAGGTGTTAATCCGCTGCGGAAAATTTCTTACTCACCTTGACTTGTCACAAATTTCCCATTTATTGGGCTCGAGTACTTTGACAATAGTCGGGAAGCTCTGTCCAAATTTGCAATCGGTAAATATAACCAGCATACCACTGTCGCAGTCAGGAATAAACTCCCTGATGACTCACTGCCAGAATATTACCAAATTTATGATGAAGACACTTCGCGGACCCAGCGAGCGCGACTTGTCGTTATTTTTTGGAGTGAACAAAAAATTAAAGTACCTGTCAGTCGAAGGCGACGAATACATAGTCGGGAAATCATTTGCTTCACTGCCTCAGGAGGTTCTTGAAGATTTGCACTTGACCCGCTGCACAGCCCTCGTGTCCAGTCACTTTGACGTCACGATTAATCACCTAACAAATTTGAAATCGCTGACGCTCAATATGTGCGTGTGTCTCACTGACTCGACACTGGAGGCCGTGGGTAACAAGACAACGATAACGGACCTAAAATTCATGGGCACGCACCCGCTGATCTCTGCAAACTCGCTGAACAATTTGAAAAATTTAGTTAATTTAGAAAGACTGTGTCTGAAAGAAAACGTCGCGGTAAACGATGATTTTTTGATTAACTTGTCGCAGAATTGTAAACAACTTAATTACTTGGATTTAACCAACTGTCAGGCAGTGACTGATCGAGGTATTAGTCCACTGACAACTCTCAATAAATTAGAAACTTTGATAGTTAATTTTGTCTCCCAAGTGACTGATGAAGCCATTGCGAATCTTCAGAGCCTTAAAGTCTTCAGTAGCTGGGGCTGTAAGGGTATTACCGACTCAGGTATTATTAATTTAATTAACACTGCTCCGAATTTAATTTCTCTTGATTTATCGGCGACTTCGATCACTAGCGAGTCTCTTCAAGTTGCTGTTACTGTTACGAGAAAACGTAAGAGTAATTATATTCTTAAAATGATTATTGGAGGGACCAATGCTCATTCTTTGGATATTAAAGAAATTTCTCCGTTATTGCAAATAGTTAATCTCGATTTCTCAGTTTTGGAGAATACTACGAGTAAATATGAGTATTTATTGTAAAATTAATTTTTTTTTTTATCACTTATTTATTTCGAATGCTTACGTTAATTTTTTGGCAGTAACAGAGCTTTACTCCGGATTACTCAACTCTGCGACATACTTTACTCTACTAAAATAATTGAATAACTTTAAAAAAAAAAATTTTACTCAATTCTTTCACTACTCGATACTAACTTTATTCGACGTTAAGTTTACTCAGTACTAACTGTATTCAATGATATCTCAACTCAATATTATATTAGAAGTGTTGACGCGCTTTTAAAAATCTCTATTCAATATTTTTTTATTTAATAATATTTTATTCGGCAAAAACAAAACTGTACTGAAAATTTCTCAGCTTTGCACCATCTGTACTCCAATAAAATAATTTAACAAATTAAAAAAAAATTTTTACTATATATAGATATATAAATTATAAATTTGACATTGAATAAAGTTTGTAAAACAATAGAGTTTTATTTTTTAAGAATAAAATTATTGAGTTAAGTTTTTTTTTTTAATTTATTTAAAGTGAACATATTATTGAATAAAAAAATATAAATAAAGATTTTTAAAAGCCCGCCATCACTTCTAATATACTATTGAGTCGAGATATCATTGAATACAGTTAGTACACTGATAAAAGGATTTATTTGTATTAAATAATATTTGTTAATAGTTAACAAATCATTTATTAGAGAGCACTTTTTAGTATTAAACAAATATTTCTTAGGATTTAAAATGATTTTTTTGTATTTAATAAATCTGATATTCATTTATTAAATATTAATAAATTTTTTTAAATACTAATAAATATTTGTTAAGGACTAAAAAGTGGCCTAATAAATGATTTTTTTGAATAATAACTTATATTTTTTAACTATAAATAAATCCTTCTATCAGTGT